ACAGACACCGTGAGGTACAGGCAGGCTAGCGAGGTGGTGGGAGGGCACTCTCCCTTCACCCTGTGGCGTTGCCCTGGTCCCTCTGCTCCCTGCTCCTTGCAGGCCTGGTGCTGCCCGTTCCCCGAGAGTGGAGAACGGCCGAGGCCGCGCTGACCGCCCCCTTTGCGCTCTCTCTGCAGGAATGTCACGGCTCAGAGTCACCTGGACCTGAAGGTGTGGAGCTGCCATACCCTGAGGAACGAGCTGCTGGGCAGGGCCTCTGTCAGCCTCTGGAACCTGCTGAAGAACGGCGGGAAACGTATGTACGAGCCCTCGCCGTGGCTCCCTCTTGGCCTCTGCCCCGTGTCCCGTCCCCTGTGCAGAGGGCAGAGAGGCGGCTCTCCGGGCTAGGGTCACCGCTGCTCACGGGGGCTGGCAGAACGCTTGGGTGAGGTGCCAGCTTGGTGGGGCGCTGCTGGCCCGTGGTGGGCTGCCCTGGGCACGCTGCACCCCTGTCCTCCGCGGTGGTCCTGCAGGATTTCCTTCCCCAAAAGGTGTGTGGCGGAGAAAGGAGTAACTGGCTGGAGCAGTTCTCAGCTCAGTCCCTGGCCCCGGGAGAGAACAAGGCAACATTGTGCGAGCTGGGCCGGCCTGTCAGGCGTGGGGGGCTGCAGCGTGACGGAAGCCATACCTTAATTAGCCAGGGTGCCACAGCCTGCACGGAAACACAAACCCCTCAGCTATTTGCTGCCATTTGTGGTCATCAGAGTGTGGCCCGTGGCGGCAGCTACTACATAAAGGCCTCCATTCAGGGCTCGGGCCGTGCACGTGGCTGCGCAGGGCAGGAAAAAGCTTGTTCTCTCTTTTCCAAGCAAAGCTCAGCCACTCGCAAAAGACAGACCTGGTATTGAGAGGGGAGAGGGGCCTCCTGTGCACCGGAGGGATACGGGGCTGGTTCAGACTCTCCCCTGTGCCAGGGGATGGGGTGAGTTGCTTCCCCTGGCACTGCCAGCTACAGGCTGTGAAACCGCGGTGGTGTCCCCGGTGTGCCCCTGAGGTGGGCAGGTTGCCTTCCCTGGGGCCCTGCGCGTCCTTGGGGCAGACGGCAAGCTATCCTCGATGCCGCGGGCTTCTTGGGACCAGCGTGGTTACGGGCTCCTCGCCTAAGAGCTGCCCCTCAGCAGACTGGCTTGTGCGGGGAGCTCTCGCTGCTCTCGCATCGCAGAGTCCACGAGGACGCGGACGTCCGCCTCTGGGTAGGTAGGGGGCTCTCTCTGAGTAAGGCGGCTTGCAGCGTTATCCCCCGAGCGTGCGGAGCTGAGGCCGCCTGTCCTGGCAGGTCCTGCTCCGGTCAGCCTCGGGGCGCTCTGCCCCTTCTCCCCGAGCCATGCACAAGTGCCGTGCTCGCGTTGCCGGTGCTGCCGCCTGCTCCCGCCCTACCTGCCCGCTCCCGGCAGCAAGGGCACAATTGGCTCTTTCATTAGCAGGCGTCCCGGGGGGCCATGTGGAAAATGAATGGAAAAGGCAACTGGCTGTTCTAGCTTGTCCGTTAACATGCACCAGAAAAAACGTGTCAGATTTTTCCTTGACACTGTGGGCTGGGAGGGGAGGATTCTTAAAGCTGCAGAGCCCTGCGCAGCTGGGAAGGTGCTGCTGCGAGGCGGGAGCAGCTCGTGCTCCTGAGCTGTCGTGTCTTTGGCGAGCCGCGCGCTCTTACTCGCTGTCTCGTCTCACCTGGGATCCTCTCCCTCCTCTTCTCTGAGATGCTGACTTGCTGCTCTTGGCCTTCGTGGCTTTGTTCCAGCCTCAGCTCTGTGTTCGTCCCCTGGGGCAGGGATTGTTGCAGTTCCTCCGAAGCTCTGTGGGAGCTGAGAGCCTGCATCTCCAAGGGGGCTTGGAGACCTCTCCCTGGAAGGGGTCCTCCATGCATCCTGCCTGCTGTGCCTCTGGCTCCAGCGTCCTGTCACGCCTGTTGAGAGATGGCGAGCTCAGAGGCCGTTCCTTCGGCACACCACCTCTACCCCATGCCCATTCCCCTGGGCTTGCTGGAAGTGGCCAGGTCACACGGATCCGCGAAGCAGATTTGGGATTTCAAGCTGCCTCTCGAGGGAGGGTGGGGATACCTGCCAGTGGGTCTGAGACTCCCACAGACCACAGTTACTCTAGTTCCTAGGCTGAGATGAAGGAGGCTGTTCTGGAACCTTGTGGGGGAAGTGGCCAGCTGTGTGTCCCCCTCTTTTCCCCCCGTGACTCCCTGCAGGAGGACCCGTGTGCACTCAGCCCCCCTGGGCTTTTCAGCCGTTCCAGAGCTGGACAGGTAGTGTTGTAATCCAGCCCAGTGACCCTCTGCCTGGGAGAAGGTGCTCAAAGGAGCGTGCTCTCCGCCACTTGTGGAGACCCTGGCAGTGAGCATCTCCCTCCTGGGAAGTGCTTAGCAGGAGCACTTCTCCCCCAAGGACTGTTCTTGGCTGGCAGCAGACCCACTTTCTAGATTAGTTGGTTTTACTAAGGTTTTCTCTAAGTTACTGATAAGTGAGTATAGCTGTGACCTTTTGTTTGGATTTCTGTAGTTGTTTTACTTGGTATGGTAGAATTGTTCTGGCCCTTCTGTGTTTGTGCAGATGGGTGTTTTCCGGCAGGGCTGGTGTTCTCTTTCCTTCTCCAGTGATGCCCGTGGCGATGTATGTAGGGCTCCTGCTTGCCAGAGCGAAGCTATAGCTCCCTCTGCTCCTTCTCCTGGTCCTTCTGCCAAACATGCTTTGCTTCAGGTGGAAGAGTCTTGGCTCCGGAGCCCAGAAAAAGGGCTCAGCAGCTCAGGACCCAGTCAGGCCTGAGCTCTCAGGAGGACAGAGAGCTTATAGCCCCAGCTGTCAGAAATGAGCTCCCGCTCCAAAAGGGTCAAGCCTTGCTTTCAGACTTGCTGCCTTTCCCATTGCCTTGGCAGCCATCTCCAAGGCCCTCTACGCAGCCTCTTTTCTGGCAAGGTAGCACCCTCCCAGTTTCAGACAGGGGGATTGGACAGGGAGACAGAGAGGTGGGTAAGAATGGGCTTAATCATAGAAGGCTCTAACTCATTTTCTATGGAGCTGCTCCCAGGGCTCCTTTAAAACAGCTAATTTACAATGGCACAGCCCCCTGCCCTGGGCCTCTGCCGCTGTGCGCTGCAGAAGAAACTCTTTGTTCTGAGGCTCCCGGAGCTCCTCGGTGCAGGCGTCGTGCGAGGCAGGAGGAGCGTCCCTGGGCGGCCTCACAGTACAGTCTGCGTGGAAGCTGATACTGGGCCATGCTGGTTTTTGCTAGTCCCCCTGTCTGCTGAGCAATGGATGTCAGCGCAGGCTTTGGAGTGATAGGAATGAGCCAGGCTGCAGCTTGCAAATGAAAGTGCTGGCTTTTATTACTTGCTGCTCGGGTTGCAAGTTACATCAACAGGCTCCTGTTTCTTGAGTGGCACCATATGCCAAGATTTTACAGATCCTGCAAAGCCTTTTCTTTCCATTCTGCTGCACCTCAGGCAGAGCTGCTGGAGCCGCGGCCTTGAGGAATCCTTTCAGGAAGCCAGCAACAAACCCCCAAACCTCTGGAAAGCTGCAGCTGACCCCGCTTCATGAATGTGCTGTCAAAGGAGCTCTGCTGCACGGTACAAAAGCAAGAGTCTTCTAGCAAGGAATCATGAAAGCAAATACACAGACTAGCTGAAACGAGCGTTGAATAAGCTGGCTCTGTCGGTGGCTGTGCGATAGTCCTGTGAAAGGGGTTGTTGCAAGCTGGTATGTCGTGGTGTGGGGCTGGACTGTGCCCGCTCCGGGTCACCTTCCGGGTGTTGTGTTCTGAGTGTCCAGCACTGCTGATGGGACTGTGACCACCAACGCTGTCCCCTTGTCTCCTGCGTTGTGCCCTGGCTGGCACCAGACTCTCTTTGGATGGGAGGCTGTCCTCTGCTCCCAAGCCAGCGAGTACATAGGGTCCTTTGGCTGCAGTCCCTGCCGGCGCCCTGTTCTGCAGACAGCTAGCTGCCCCCAGTCAGAGAGAGCGGGCTCTTTGGCTTTCTCTTTTCATCTTGTCTTTGCTCACAAGGCTGTGATGGTTCAGAGGAAAGAAGCAGAAGTCTGAGGTCCTCCTGGTTGTGCTACCTAGCAGTTACGATAAGTGGATTGGGACACAGCTATTTTTAAGCCGCCTGCGGTCCCTCGGTTCAGAGCAGCCTCTCCAGCGTGACACACTGCCCTTTCACTTCTCCCCAACTCAGCTACTCTGGCTGCAGGATGGAGCACCCAGCTGAAGCGTGGCCCTGCTGCTTGCGCCATCCCGTGGTGCTGGCGTCGAAGACTGGCTCAGTGGCAGGGCAAATCTTCCTGCTGCCTGGGAGAGTAAGGATAAACCCTTTCCCTAAACTCTGGATTGCTCCTTGGCTTATGGATAGCTATGGAAGGTCTTATTCTACCCCCTCTTCTCAGAGGGATCATGGGCACAGTGTGGAGTCATCCTTTGGCCGCGGGTGTGCCCAAAACTTCAGCCAGTCTTCACCTGCCAAGCACCAGGGAGGTGAGTTCTGTGCGTTCTGCTGCCTGCTGGGCTGCCACGTGTTGTGGGGTGGCACAGGGACACCTGTGACTGGTGGGGAAGCCAGCATGTCTGGGTGCTCCCACCATGCCTGAGAGCAGCCGCCACGGAAGTTATTTGTTGCCCTGCCTTTCTGTCTCGTGCCAGGGCGCTTTCAAGGGAGGGCTTTGGCTTTGGGATTTGATTCTTCTGCTGGATCAATCAGGGCAAATAGGTTGCTGAGTGGAGCCTGTGGTTGTGGTGTCCAGAGGATCTGCTCATCTTCTGTGGGAATAAATGGCAGTCCTGGCTGCTCCGCGGAGGGCTTTCCTTGAGGAGTGATGGTGGATACAGCTTTGGTTGCATGGAGCCATTTGAGTTGCAACTGGTCTATACATCCAGTGGAACTGTGCAAAGAGGGTCTTAAAAATTGAAAGGGTGGGAAGCTCAGGCCATCTGTCTGGAAATCTTTCCATCCACGTGTGAGAAGACGGAGCCACCACACCCAGGGAAGAGGCAGAGGGCCTGCCCCTCTCCCCACGCTGCAGTTTTGTGATGCTTGTGCCAATGAGCCATGTCAGACGTGTGCGGTTACGGGAGGTCCCGGGGGGTTTGAGCTCAGCCTGGAGCCTTTATTGCGCTTGCTGCTACCAGCCTTACTTCGTGGAACTGTAAATCCGCTTAATGGGCTGTGTGGGAATTCCAGCTCGCCTCCGCTAAATGGGAGCTCTGATGCTGTGTGCAGGGCACTGGAAGTAGCTGAACTGAGACCTTATTCAGGACCAAATCACCCCCCGACCCCCTCCCAAAATAATAATAATCCCTCTGACATTCTGGCTGCTTGTGAGACACAGGCAGCCTTTGTGCGCAGCCGTTCAGGGGACCCTCTGTTGGTGCAATAGCAATGTCCCTTTGTGCGTCCTGCGAGCTGGATGGGGACAGTGAATGGAAGGTTCTGCTAGTGTTTATTTTCTTTATAAAAGCTGAAGGGGGTGGAGAGGGGGAGAAGGAAGCCGGCTGGGAGGTTCATGTTCACATCCTCCACTTGGAGACACCTTGTCTTTGCTACCGCGCTGCCTTCCCCCTTAGGCTGGGAGCCTTCACAATGAGGGTCTGTGCCGCTCCGGCAGGGCGAGCGGC